TCAGTATTTGTTATGTTTGAATGCAATTTGCAAGTTGCTGAAGATTGGAGACCTCTGATTAACGGTTTATCGTTTATTGACTATGCCGCATCGAAAAATGAATCTGAAAAAATTGACAGCGGCATCATTTTAAAAGCAGCTTTATTTTTTCATGAAGAAATGCTTTTGCGTTGAGCTTGCATGAGACCCTTTGCTTGTTGTGTAAGAATGAATCTGAGAATGGAATGCAAGCTTTAAACTAGTGTTAGTCACACATAGGCAATTAAATCAGCTTTGTTAATAGTGGATGCATGCCACAGCCTTTTCGATATGCTACTATTTCCAATGCGCCCTTGCTAAATATGGTGATTTTATGTGCATTTAGAGGGTGCTGTTCTCTTCTGTGGCGTTGTTTAATATGGGGAATTTAATGTGCTTTTCAAGGACACTAACTTTCTAATAGGTTTTCTGCAAGATTTGATGATTTTAATGTGCGTTGGAAGAATGTTGTTGTGGTTTGGGGGCTGTTGCTAATTTAAAGAGTCATTCAACTGGAAACTGATATTTTCATTTTTGGTGAATGCTGGAAAGTACATGAAAACTCTAATTCTAACTTAAACAAAAGTGCAGTGCTAATCAAATGAAACAACCATCGCGGAAAAGTAAATATAAGTGAGTTCATAAATATAGCTCACATGGAAGAAAAATATATTTTAAATATATTTTAAAAATATTCTTCCTAAATATATTGACATATTATTATTATTATACAGTATTTATAAAGCGCCAAGAGTTCGCTCAGCGCTGAACATTACAAATATATTTGAAATGCTACAATTTTGGCCAAATTCAATATATTTCAAAATATATTTCAATAAATATATATATATATATGTATATAAATATATATCTGTGTATAAACAACACAGATCTCCCTCCTGTTAGCATGCACAGCAGAGAGATAGAAAGCAGGTCTGCTTATGCAGGCCATAGACAGGTTGAAAATTGGCTGATTTTCGCACTGTTAGTGGGTTAATTGGTCGGCCGTTTTTTGGTGTTTTGGCACATTTTTTCTATCGGTCATGTTGGAAATTTCGCAGGCGATGTTGACGATCGGCCGATTTTCCCGGCAATGATGGGCAAATCGGCCGATCGTTTTACTGATAAAAAATCTGCGCATGAGCCGTGACCTGCAAGAAGAAGAAAAAGAAGAAGACGAAAAAAGAAGTAGAAAAAAAATAAGAAAAAAGGAAGGAAAGAAGAAAAAAATAAGAAGAAAAATAAGAAGAAAAAAGAAGAAAAAGTAGAAGAAAAAGATGAAGAAGAAAAATAATAATAAGAAGAAAAAGAAGAAGCAGAAAAAGAAGAAGCGGAATTCCAGTCCACTATTATATTTTATGTGAAATTCTTGCGGTTGCAACAATGTATCTATTTGTATCTGAATAAAAACATCTGTATCCGAAATGGATACAAATGGATACATTGTTGCAACTGCAAGACTTTCATGTAAAATATAATAGCGGACTGGAATTCTTCTTCTTCTTCTTTTTCTTCTTGTTCTTTTTTTTTTTCTTCTTCTTCTTTTTCTCCTCCTTCTTATTTTTCTTCTTTTTCTTCCTCTTTTCTTCTTCTTTTTCCTCTTCTACTTCTTCAGAAGTAATTATGGGATTAAATGCCGGCCATAGACAGGACGAAAATCGGGGGGCTCAGTACTTGGTGGTCGGCTTCGGCTAGCCGTAAAAAAAAGGGTCCGTCTGGCCTTTTGGCCAGGTGGACCATGTGGAAACCTCAGTCCCTGTCAGGAGCCTCGCGCCCTGGGGGATCAGGGTAGAGGTCCTACCCCATTTGGGGGATGGGCACACCCCTAAGTGCACTTTTTTGGTGTTTTGGGGAAATTTTATGTTCACTTACGGTTATTGTTTTTTGCACCTCCGCGGACTTAAAAAAAAACAATTAATATACACTTATTTGTATTTTTTTTTTAGCAAAGACAGCAGAGAACACATTTTGGCCTAAATTTATGATGATTTTTTATTTTTTTAATCTTTTATAAACAAGAGTTTTTTGTTTTTTTTTAAACTGTCGGTCTTTTTTTGTTTATAGCGCAAACAAGGAAAGGTGATCAAATACCACCAAAAGAAAGCTCTATTTGTGGAGAAAAAAAGTTACATCAATTTCATTTATGTACAGTGTTGCATGACCGCGCAATTGTCAGTTAAATTTAACGCAGCGACATATTGAAAAAAAAAAAAGGCCTGGTCAGGAGGGGGGTTAAAATCTTCTTAAGGCAAGTGGTTAAATACTAAACAGTAAACATTTTTAAAAAATGGTCATTTGGTAATATAATTTACATATAAAAAAGGTAAAATAGCAATATATTTTAGGACAACTGCAAAAAAAATTGAAAAATGTATACTCATTGAAAATACACTTTCCCTTTAAATCCTCCCCTTCTGATATTTCATTATTCTCTGTACAGCAGTCACAGGGCAATCATCGTTAGATGAATACCCGCGCCTCCTCCGCGCTTGTAATGTAGTCCTTGCGTTCACAATTGCCAGCATTAATGCCATTTTATTAGGCAGGGTGATACCGCTGCTGTTGATCATTACAGGAGGAATGCATTTTTAATATGTCATCTCTCACATTACTTTATTCCAAAGGCATAAATGGATGGTCCTGCTGTTCTTAAATGTCGTTATGCGGTCAGGACAGCGGGCAGTGTGCCGCGGCCATTTACTTACTCTACTACGATTCCCAAAATCTTGTTTCCTTATTACAAATCACAGCGAAAATCGAGCAATATTCTCCCCTTAAGTCATTTATTCATAATCATTTCCTTGCCATGCCTGTTTGTTCACAACATTAACGGCAGATAAAAGGGACTGTGCACTAAACTGACCCTCTTAGTGACACGCGCAACGCACGTCTGAGTTGTAATGCGCAGCCCACTAATGCCTGCATAAAATGAAGCCGCATTTATTGTGATGTTAGCGTGGCTTTGCATGGGCTGGGATGGGAATATTCATGACAAGGGTAGAATATACGGCTTCCAACCTAACCAAGCCTGGTAGGCCATACCCTCCACCATCCCAGTTTATACAAAGTACACAAACAAGTTTCTGGAGTCAAAATGGCCATAGCAGCCTTTTATTAACCAATACATTATTTTAACACAGATAACATAACATTCCAAATGATAAACAGAGGAAACCGTGGTGGTCCTTTGAGGGCCATAAACTCAACTTCACTTTTGCAGAAAACATTCCTTCAATTTAGGACCTCAACAAATAAATGTAATCATTGCAGTGTGGGGGAAGCACCACTGGAACAGATTTTTTGACCCCCTTCCTTTTTTTTTTTTGCTTTTGAGTTTAGCTTGAAACTCACTTGCTCCTAATCCAGGTAGGGAGATCACACTGACTGGACCACATAGCCCCTTGCTATAAGTCTTTTTGGCTGGGTCAACGTGTGATCCCCACTCTTATAGACTTCCGAATAGGAGCAAGGCTAATATGTCAGCCATATTGACTAATCCACGACTGAGGGATTTGCATAGTACCAAGGCAAAATATATCCCAGTAACCCAAAATACAACACTTCCCCCCCATTCCCAAATGACCACATGACAAATATCAATTTTGGAGTTAAGTGGCCATAGTAGTCCTTTATTTTAACACAACAATAGAAATTTAATAGAACTTTGGTAAATAATGAAATCAATGCCTAACATAAATTAACATTAACAGCAATTGATCCTACCAGGTCCAAGGTCTTGGAAGGCGCCTATAAACCCCAATAAATTGGCTGTATCTGCACCCAGTGAAAGGATACACTGCCTCTGGGACAATAAACCACCTCTGTACTCCTAGTAAAGTTAAAGTTGTTCTAAAACCTTAATGTTTTTCACCTTAATGCACTCTCTGCATTAAGGTGAAAAACCTTCTGGACTACAGCTCCCCCCGCCTTCTTCTTACCTGAGCCCAATCTGATGTGCATGAGAGCAGCTTTCCTTGGGGGCCCCCGCCGAAGGGGAGGGGCCTGGAGCACCAGTGGGGGACCCCAGAAGAGGAGGATAGAGGCTGCTCTGTGCAAAAGCATTGCACAGAGCAGGTAAGTATAGACATGTTTGTTATTTTCATTTTTGAAAAACTAAGGTTTAGCATCACTTTAATGTTACCAATGTAAACCTGTTGTTGGGAAGGGAAACCCATAACTAAGATGGGCCCAATCCATAACCCTCCAAAATTTTAAGACAGGGCCACCTTCATAGACCCAGAGACCTCTGCCTGCTGCTATGACATGTGAACAAAATGACCACGACACCAAAGTATGAATCAAAAAAGATCTACAGAAGGCAAATAAATAGACACACAAAAATCGACATAAAGAAAACAAATAAATGCCAAAAAAAAATATCCCTGTGGTTAGAGGGGGGAGAAACCTCATGTAGGTTGGTACAAACTCTGACAAAGTCTGACAAGGTTCAGCCCTTCTTCTCATATCAAGGTACCACCTCCAATCCCCCAACCATCCTATCAGGCAAGTAAAATTTATTTTTTCATAAATAGACCCCCCCCAGCCCAATGTACATCTTCACCTCTTCTGCTCACCCAAGTTATACTGGCCCTCCTCTTAGCCTTGCCCAGCACCAGGCCATATACTTTCATCACCATTTATAATCTGTGAAAAAAGAGACAAATTATCTAATGCATTCCAACCCGTAACTGACTTTCTCTCCACTTTCTATAAATAGATTTGTGATGTGCCAAACAAAGAATTACAGTTATTTAAAACATCACCAACATCATGACTTGTTTTAATGTATTTCCTGTGTGATCGTTGCAAGATGTTTGAACTAATTATATACTTCTTTTTGTTAATGCAGGATCAGCAAAGGATATTTGGATTGCAATATGGGTATGCTCTATGGATTGACATTTACGTGTTGGATGTAACCTCGGATTTTGCACTGGACTTGGAGTAAGGATCAAGGACTGTTTGAATACACACTACCAAAAATGAAGAAGGACTTTTGTTTACATGGCATTCTGCTATGCCTGGGGATTGCATACTGTAGTCACGTCTCATCGACGCGGAGGAGCAGTAAGTTAAGGCAGTCTTATCACGGACACCATGAAAAGGGCAAAGAAGGGCAAGTATTACACAGATCCAAGAGGGGATGGGTATGGAACCAGTTTTTTGTAATAGAGGAATACACCGGACCAGATCCTGTGCTTGTTGGACGGGTAAGACTCAACTATTTTTTTCTTTTTCTTAGAAAATGTTCTTCTATGTATCTATAGTAGGCTTTCTCAACTGTTTTACCCCATTGGAACCCTTGAAATGGTTTTCAGATCTCAAGGAACCAATCTATTGCGGTCAGTGGAAAAAATGCCCCATGCATTCCTGGCCAGTTGGAAGAATCCCCCCCCCCCCCCTTTTACAGTAGTGGTCTGAATGCCATCCTTAAAGACAGCCAAAGAGATCTCTGGAGTCACTCTGCCAAGTGGCTTTGGCTCTAAAACCATGTAGGTACCAAAAATGAGAGGTCAATCAATGACAGCTCGGGAAACCCCTACAAACTTTTGGAACCCTCCATAGTTGAGAATGGCTGACCTATGGTATTATATCAGCTTGCATTGATCAGTATAAAGATGTCATCTATGAAACACATTATTTATTGATCTGTAACAACCAATCAGGTGTTTGTTTTTATTTCCTAAACACTGTTGTAAAATTGTTTGTTATGGGTTTCTTCACTCTGCTATATGATGGTTTTATGAGGGCCCATTCACACTTGCAAGTTGTGGCAGCATGCATTAAAATTCCCATGTGTGTTACCATGAGACATGGAAGGGCACCAGTCCTATGTGCAGTGCATTACGGTGACATTTATTGTGAATTGCACCTTAACGCATTGCACAGCAGAGCCCAATGCACAATGTGCCACAATGCATATACCATGATTAGTAGTCAGGGTGGATAAAAATCAATGATTTTTTTTTAAAAATCAAAAAAATCTGATTTTTTTAATTTAAATCTGATTTTTTTTAAATAAAATGCTTTTTGAGGAAAATATATTACCATCCAAAGGTTATTCCATCATGAAATAAAGATTAGTTTTCTAATTATGTAGAATAAGGCTGTATATGTTTAATTTTTTTGGTAAATAAATACATGAATCCATTCACAATGTCATGCTCTTTCCAGAGGTTTTTGTAAGATTATTGGGCAGTTTCTCTGCCTACAAGATATTATCACAGATGATCGGTTTACTTTTGCAGTTCTCAAAACTGAATTTGACTCAGCGGAGATCACATGCCTCTTCTTCACAGCAAAAATGTTATAACCTGAACAGAGTTAAGAAAAAGACCTTCATCCTAACTTCTACAAACCTCTTCAGTGCTAAGTTTCAAGAAGTTCAGTGAATAGAATAGAAACAATATTTTTCTGATTGTTTGGAGTGGAATAGATCTGCACAAGAAGAAAGTGAAACTAAGTGTGAGGAGGAAGGGGCTGACAGTCTATGTTTCTTAAAATATATATATTTTGTTTAGCCAAATTAGTTAACAAACATGGATGTTTGTTTAAGCAAATAACATATGCTGGAATGTTATTGTTTCAGTTGATTAAATCTATTTAAATTGTTATTATTATTAAGGTAATAATAAGTACAACAGAAAAGTTGTCCAAATATGAATGATTAACCTATTAAACTGGGGATAAAAAAAACTAATATGAAAAGTTGTTATTCTAAAAATCTCGATCTACTTGCATATTAAAGTTATATACCAGCAAGAATTAGTCTTTATGTAGAAAACTAGGATTTAAATCAAGCCTTACTGACTAGTGATTTAAATCGTGATTTAAATCAGTTTGATTTAAATCAAATCCACCCTGTTAGTAGTGCATTGTGTTTTTTTTTTTTTTTTGCAATAGCTTTCATCACTTGTGGTGCTTTGGCAAACCCTGTATATGTGTATATATATGTATATATATATCAACACTTGCCATAACACACATGCATTAATACACTGTAACAGAACGCTTAAGTGTGAATGAGCTCTAAATGTCCTTTAATGCATTGATTACTTTTTTTGTAAATATTTAAAAAAAAACTGATTATCAAAATGTTATTATTTTCTTTACTTTTCTTTATAACGTATCATAAAGAAACAGATGCAATCTGAAATGTAATTGGTATCTCTGTGTTATTACACTTTGCTCATCCCCGTTCTTTGTACTACCTTTTCTAAAACATGAAAGACTGATATTTAAAGAAGACCAAGTAAAACACAAAATCCAGCATGCAATGTGCATACAGTATAAAAAGACAATTCTGCTTTTTCACTTTGAAGGCACTGTTTGGAAATAGAAATAATGACCTATAAAGTCCTGGATTTGTAATAGCCCATACTACCTGTTTTTGTGGGTTTGGGATAAAGGACAAGCTATCATCCATAAAAAAAATGCCTGGAGCTGAAAGTAAATCATTTTATTTCATTTTCATTTATAAGAAGTTTTAAAGTACTAATTAATGAGCTGTGCAGTTGTAGATGGACAGTAGGTGATATATCATGAAACCATTCGCCGAAGACTCAAGGTTTAGTTATGATTTTGTGATTTATTGTTTAATCCAGATTTTGATTAAAAAATACTCCTAATGTAAGCAGGTGTAGTCAGGGGCCTGCCATCAATGAGGCCAAACTAAGCCAACAGCCTCAGACAGGACTCAGTGGGGAATGGTACTGAGTCCAGAAGGTCTGGTATGGGTGCTCTGTCCTCTCTACAGCTCAGTAATGTTGCCCTGCATGCACACCACCTGCACCATAGCAACTAAGGATAGTGTAGCCCAGCTGCCTGCTTCCTAGCAACCAATGATGCTGTGCAGCCCAGTTATCAGCATTCTAGCAACCAATGCTACACAGCCATACAGCACCATTGGTTGCTAAAATGCTGGATGCTAGACCTCAATGTCATTGGTTGCTGTAGGTGGTATATCACAAAGTCATTCACCGCAGACTCAAGGTTTTTAGTTATGATTTTTTGATTTATTGATTAATTCAGAGGTAGCTTAAAAAGTACTGCTAATGTAAGCAGGTGTAGTCAGGGGCCTGCCGCCAGTGAGGCCAAAATAAGTCAACAGCGCTAGGCAGCACTCAGTGGGGAATGGTACTGAGACCACAATGTCTGGTATGGGCACTCTGTCCCCTCTACAGCTCAATAATGTTGCCCTGTATGCACACCGCCTGCACCATAGCAACTAAGGATAGTGTAGCCCAGCTGCCTGCTTCCTAGCAACCAGTGATGCTGTGCAGCCCAGTTATCAGCATTCTAGCAACCAATGCTATACAGCCATACAGCACCATTGGTTGCTAAAATGCTGGCAGCTAGACCACAGTGTTATTGGTTGCTGTGCCAACGTCCTAGCAACCAAAGGAGAAGGTGGCAGCATGGCATGGCAGTCAAAGTAGACTCACACCAGGGTGTAGTTTCTAATTGCTGAATGACAGATTCATCTGTTGTTATCTTCTGTTATAAATCACTAGAACATAGCTAATCCCACTAACCACAATTGAAGTACGTTATGGGGGAATAGCCTTGAATCAGATGTCGTAATTCATCAAGCTTTAGCAGCCTGTTAAAATTTTATTAATTAGGGATTTTATTCTTTGAATACATTTGATAAAGTTGTATGTATGACTTGTGATCGTTAGATTTGCTTTCTAGCTGGCTTTCTCCCATCTGCTGTTCCTTTGAAGCGATCAACAATGTTGCAGTACCACCTATGACAGCAAGGTGGCAGTGCAGAGTGATCGATTTTCTGTAAAATGTATTTTTTTAACTATACCAAGGGAAAATTAATATATGTTTTGCTTCAGGGTACAAACATACTATGCAAATATAACATAGCAGGGCTTTTCTTTCAGCGGGAATGCGGGGGAATGCAATTCTGGCACCTCTAGCACTGATTGGGGTGTTGGAGGGTCTATTTATATTGGCTGCTGGGAATCTATTGTCACTGGGGGGATCTGTTGTTGCAGGGGAGTTTATTGTTTCTGGTGGGGATCTATTGTTGCTGCGGGGTTATTTGTTCTTAGGGGGTCAATTGCTACTATGATGGATCTGCTGTTGAGGGAGGGATCTATTGTCACTGGCTGCTAGAAATTCTTCTGTATTGTTCCGAGTGGGGGTCTGTTGTTGCTGGGGGATCTATTGTTGTTGGGGAGTATTTTGTTGCAGGGGGACTATCATTTCTGGGTGGGGGTCTATTGTTTCTGGGGTATCTAATGTTGCTGGGTCTATTGTTGCTGGGGTGATTTCTATTGTTACTGAGGGATCTTTTGTTGCTAGGGGGGACCTATTGTTAATGGGGGGCTATTGTTGCTGGAGGGGGGCTATTGTTGCTGGATGCAAGGTATTTATTGTTACCATTAACACATACAAATAATACTTGATTCTGTAATCTCTAAAAGGGGCCGTACTGAGAGGTGGGTAGGGGGTGGAACCAAGTGATGGAGCTTAGAGGTGAGTAGGGGGCAGAGACAAGAAGTAACTCAGAATGGGTGAGTACCTGCACCTATTTTCTGAGAAAAAAAAGCCCTGTAAAATAGTATACAGCAGGGGCGGACTGACCATTTGGAAACTCGGGCACTGCCCGAGGGCCCGGGGTCAGTAGGGGGCCCCATGAGATGCCCCTGGTACCTTTTTCATAGGCTTTTTTGAGTGTGGGCAAGGACACAGGGGCTCCATGATCCCCTATTGCCCGGGGGCCCCATGAGCTGTCAGTCCGCCCCTAGAAGGAGGTATAAGTGCCCTGTAGGCAAGTGGTGAAATAATAATCACAAGATATGTACCGTACAGCGGCCCCCAAACTCCCTTCCTCTGGGGTCCCCCACCAGCTCTCTGGGATCTTTCTCTTCTTTTTTGAGTTTGGGCAAGGACACAGGGGCTCCATGATCCCTTTATGCCCGGGGGGCCCCATGAGTTGTCAGTCCGCCCCTGGTATACAGTATTGAAAAGATTATAAAAGTAGAATTGCACAAATAACATGTAGACATTGCCTGTTAAATTTTTACTTTTTTGAATTTGGAATAATGAATTTCCTTGATATGTGTATTAAAAAAAGGTCCTTGAACTCTTCTAATTTTCATCAGCTAAAGTATTTTTATAATATATTGGTTTATAAATTGGTCAGTATGGCATCACGTAGACCATGATGACATTATTCTACCTTCCTTTTTAT